GTATTAGTTGTGAAATTATTAGCCTCATCATTTGTAAGAAATGGTTTCCTTTGTCCCTGTCTGTCCCTGAAAATCCACTGAATTTCCTTTCATTCCCCTCTTTTGTTCCCTAGGAACAACACTCTTAAAAAGGAGTGTCCACCACCAGGGCTGGGTGAAAAACCTGCAACAAGGGCCAATTAGTAAAGGAAAAGTCCCAGCCTACCCAAATTTCATTTTGGCGTAGGATATTCACACTCCCAGGTGGATTTCAGCGTGCTCGGGCATTTACTCCACAAGTCAACTAACTTGTGACTAGTGAAAACCGTGTCAGCATGGAGGACACAAAATAAAACATAATAATGTTACAGAGAGCACAAAATATAAAATGGAAATATTCAAAATTTAAACAAAAGAACAATCAACAGACCCACTGCCAGTGTATTCATGAGAGCGATTAGAAACTTGTTTGGACAACAGAGGGACAGATGCCATGGACAGATACCTTGTGCTTGGATTACAAGCACAAGGTATAACACAACTCAAACGTAAGCGAAAAAAAAAGTTATTCAAAATGTTCACTCATGCAAAAGTATACAGATGGTTTTCTGGCCTGTTTTGCAACTTTGTGCTGCGTGACAGGCACAGCGTAGGTTGCCAGGAGAGAGATTACTAGCAGGTCGTCCCGCAACGTGTCATCAATAGCTCATCTTGATCAGTCCTGTCTGAGATTGTGGTGAAGAGGTTTTAATAGACAAATTGCTAGTGCATGTCAAAATGCTCTTGTAACCACTGCGCCTCTGTGCTGTCATGTGCTGCGTTGACATGGTGTTAAGGATAGTAAGCACCTGATGTGAAGTGTACAATGTCATTGGGTGCGAAAGGGCAATTTCTTCTGCATCCTGTACCATCAGGGCAGCCGCAGCTACAGCCCACAAACAAGCAGGCAGCCCTTGTGCCACTACATCTAATGTTTTGGATATATATGCAACAGGTCTCATCTTTAGCAGGTCATCAGCATACTGCAACACCGTACAGCCTTGAGGGTATCCAGGGAATCGCGCACGGCGGCGGCCAAAACAGCTGGAGAAACCACACATCCGGGAGACGCTGCCATGCGTATTGTCCTTCTTTGAAACTGAAAGCAAAAGTGGGCTGAGTGTCCTCATGGACTAGGATGCAGAAAACGGCCGAACACAAGTCTACAATAGTGAAATGTGTGTCTTAGTAGAATTCTATTAACAATGGCACAAGTGGCACAGGAGGGACGACAACTTTGTTTACTTGCCATAAATCTTGTGCAAATCTCAGACCTCTACCACCCGCCTTGCTAACAGGCAATTATTGGCATGTTATATGGAGATGTTGTTTCAACTATCATGCCTTGTTTCAACAGTGATTGTATCACACCCTCAATTCCTTCTTTCTTTTCTCTAGACAAAGGGTATTGGTCTTTTTGTTAACCGTTGTTGGCCATTTAGGGGTGACATATTTATCCCATTCAATTTTCATTTTACTCCATGTCACCAGACAATGATCCATATATTCATAATCCCATTTGGGATCCCCTACATGATGTCTTATGCATGGTGCTGCTCATGCAAGTTTCCTCGAAGGATTTGTCTCTCGGATATGTCTGACCACAATGAGAACAAGATCATTCTGTCCATCTCGCCAAATTATATATCCACGGGACAGTGCACTCACCTAAATTATCCCTGTCCATCCAGTCCCTTGGACTTTCCCCAGAATTAGGTTTTACAGTTTTACCCCCCATTTTTATTTGGAGAACAAACAGAATGGAGGTAACCAGTAACAGATAACCCAAACAGACTAGTGTATCCTGTCTTTCAAGGACTTTGTAAATTCCCCCTAGGATTCACACCCCTAATCTGTTCAATACTGTAGCCCCTGTGGCCTCAGGGGAGGGACACCTCTACAAGATCACCGTCAAGGAGAATGAGCAAGAAAGATCAGTACTCACCTCCCGACGGAGATCCCACTCTCTGACACCAAATTGTAAGAAATGGTTTCCTTTGTCCCTGTCTGATCCCACCTTGACCTCTCTCTATCTGGTTGTTCCCCATCGGAGCTCCGGGATTGCAAAGACACACACACATGCATCAAAGTTCCGAGATACACTCATTTATTTTGGAATGGAAGGGCCTTTTATACACTTAGAAGCAGACATGGCTGGCAGCAGATGAGGTGTGAAAGAAACAGGAAACCACGGATGCAGCTGCCAAGAAATGTACTTGCATGTCAAGACATTCTGTCCTGACACACAGACATATGATGATTAATTTCAGTTTCAAGTTTATTTGTCATTTGCACAAAATGTCAGGACATTTATACATTGAAATGCTTGTGGTGAGACTCAGATAATCACTCTACAGAAAGTAAACAAGTAAAAATAAAAATACAAGAAAAACCAACTGAAATATATTAAATATACACAAAATATACACAGAATATAGAGACAATATATTTTTAAAGTGACTCAGTATTATTGTTATTTAAAGTGACTTAGTGTTAAAGTGTTATTGTCCATATCAGAGATATGATATAATAATAATGCTGACAGAGTGACTGAGTGAGATGGTAGTTGGTGAAGAACCCACAGCTTCACAGCTTGTTCAGAAGCCTGACAGCCTGTGGGTAGAAACTGTTCATTAGCCGGGTTGTTCTGGCCTGTATGCTGCGGAATCTCCTGCCTGATGGCAGGATGGTGAACAGGCTGTGTGCTGGGTGATGCTGTCTGACCGGATCTGTTTGATCTTCCTGAGGCAGCAGGACTGGTAGACATCCTCTAAGGCTGGTAGTCTGTTGCCCATGCTTCTGCTGTCCTCACCACTCCTTTAAGGGCCTTGTGGTCGTAGGCGGTGCAGCTGCTGTACCAGAGAGTGATGCAGCCTGTGAGGAAGCTCTCTATGGTGCATCTGTAGAAGTTGGTGAGGATCTGAGGAGGCAGACCAGAGCCTACCTGACCCTACGCAGGAAGAAGAGATGCTGATGGGCAGATCTCACAATAATTTATAATAATTTAATGAACCTTGTGTGCTTGTAGAACAGCTTTGTACAAAAAATTCTCCTTTTAGGAAAATCCCCTTACTTTCATCATTAATTTTACCATGTCTGCTGCCGACACTGAATAATACTGAAATACACTGAATAATACATACAAACATATTATCAGGGGTGTAAAGAGCACTGAAAATCCCTACTCAAGTACAAGTACAGTTACTGTAGTGATAATTTACTCAAGTACAAGTATTAGTAAATAAAATTACTCAAGAGTAAATAAGTAGTTTGTTGAAAAACTACTTAAGTACTGAGTTACTTAGTCACTTTTTCGTATTTCTGCTGTCACAACCTGAACATATTTCTGAGCTACTCGGCTACATCACTGAAAATAATCTGTACAGAAAAACACTAAAGCTACAGTTCTGAGAGCTGAGACTGATCACAGTTCGCTCTGCTAGAGCACATCTACACACCTGTCTGTGAGCTGTGTAAGGAACAAGGTTTACATTAAACTGCATGCATTTCATGGTTAGATGATAATATAAGTCATCCTAGTTTATCTGTTTCCAATAATGTATTTTAGGATCCCTGAATGACTGTGCAGAGGCTGTTACTGTTTAATTAAGTTCATTTAAGAGAAAAAAGTCAAAATTATGAGCAAATTGCTTAATTAATTATGTAATTTTAGTGAGAGTCCTGCTGCCCATCAGCTCCCTGGACTCTAGCTTACGTTAACAGGTGTGAACCTCTACAGACAGTAAACACATTCACAGCCTTTAAACTGTATATTTTCACTGATATCTGTTCAGAACATTTACACCATTAAAATCAGCAGCAACATCAGCAAATTACCCAGCTTTGATTTTACTGTAATATATTTCACTCATCATGCTGATCAGTTCATACAGAATCAGACATTATTACTGCATTTCACAGCTAAACAGCTACACAGCCTCTCACAGGCAGAGAGAGAGAGACAGAGAGAGAGAGAGAGAGAGAGAGAGAGAGACAGAGAGAGAGGGAGAGAGAGAGAGAGGGCGGGGAGGTGGGGAGGGATTAGATCAGGCCAGTCAACAACAGCGCGACAGAATCACTGTGCAGAGTTGATGAAGAACCTGTATTAGACCAGATCTCCAAACAGCAGCTAAGCTAGGCTGTATAAACGGTAAACTGTAGTCTGTGGGCGACACCTGTTAACTAAACTGTCTGACAGACACTGTAATAAAATATACGCAACAGATTTCAAGTTTAATAAACAGAATCATTACAAAAGAAAGAAGAAACCCATAAACATGGTACCTGTTCAGCTCGGACCAGCTGGCTCGGCTAACGCTGCCTCAGGAGTGTTTGGCCGTTGATAATAACGCCGTTTTCTGTAGTTCGTGTTAAATGAACACAGATGACCGTTTGGATGGTCTGTTCCCCGTGTGTGCTGGTTCAGTTCTCCTCTGTCCTTCTCCACTAAACTGGACCTCTCTGTAGTGTTTTTCCTGCCGGAGCTGCTGTTTTTTGATTGGTGAATCTTTTAAATTTAACCGCATGTCATTCTTACTGGTTTCTAGGCTGATACGCTCATCATTTATTTTTACTCTGTAACGTTATGAAAATTAAATTAGCGAAGTAAAAGTATTTCATTAAAAATGAACTCAAGTAGAGTAAAAGTGCTATGATTTCATTCTACTCCAAAAAGTACCGTTACAGGGAAAATCCTAGAATCGCCAGTGCTTAAAACCAAATGAAGTTTAATTCACCTTCAGCTGCCCCTTTTTTCCCCACGCCCCTCAAAAATGCTTGTGCATGGACCTGACTGACTCCTCACAGCATCACTGACTCCATTTAATATACACATTTAAAGTGATGTACTGAAGCCCTGTGGCCAGGTTTAGTGTGTGCTGGTGTGTATAAATGGAGCAGTGCTTTCTCTTGCTGCGTATTAGTGCTGTGTTGAAACAGGAAGTGGCAGAAATGAAAGTAAAACTTGTCAGAACAAAAAGGTAGGCGGAGCACGATGGCAGAGTTTATGTAACAGCGAACCGTTATAACCAGGTTAGGTTTGATTTAGCAGTCCGCTCAGAAGATTGGAACTGCGACACTTCTTTGCACCCAAATGGAGGGAATCTGTGCTCTGTTGCTTGTTTTGTTCGTACCTGCCGCTGTTTCAGCAGGTAAGAGCTCAGAGAATCTGAACAGTCATATTATTTTTACTTGCAGAGGATTTGCAGCAACATTCACAGCAGAAATGTTCAGAATGGGCGGTGTTAGTTCAGGTGGTTAGATATTAAATCACATTTTCTCTGTTTATAACTTAATAAACGCTGCATAGGAAGGAATAGGCTCCAGCGCCCCACCGTGACCCAGAAGGATAAGCGGTTTAGATGATGTGTGTGTGTGTGTGTGTGTGTGTGTGTGTGTGTGTGTGTGTGTGTGTGTGTATAGGAAGGAACAGCTGTGTCTTTTCACAAGAAACTAGAAATTCAGTGGGAGCCTGACAGCGGCTTAACTGGTCTATTCAGCATATGGGACTGAGTAAGAAGGACGGGGTTATGCACTTGCTACAGAAACTGGCTAAAGTCTAAGCAAATACATAAAATCGTTAATGTCAGCATTTATTGCATAATAATGATAACTATCTAAATTGTACCTTTACTCTGTAGAAAACTTTGATAGATGTGTGGAAGCAGGCATCTTTTCTCCAGACTGCTGTCACCTAAATATTCTTTCTTTAAAGGTTGTATAGCTCTACATCAGCTGATGATGAGTCTAGATTAGCTCACCCTGCTGAACATCTTCAACACATTTCCCATCCGTGTGTACAGACCCATGCCCAGACAGTTTCAGGGGGCAGGACCAAATATCATTTATAACTTATTATAACTACTCTTATCTAGAAAGACGGTGCTTTAAATCGTTCTTTAAGTTCTTCTCTCCTTGTAAATGAAATGACGCAGTCTAAAATCTTCCCTGTGTGTGATGATGAAGCAAGTGGCAAAATGAAAGTAACGGTTATTTGTTCTTGCCAAAACATTAAAGGTGGGTGGAGCTTTAGAACAGCTTAGTTCTAAAGTTCTGACATTTTTATTGGCAGATAAGCACATTCATATTCATTACATTACATTTTACCACACACACACACACACACACACACACACATGTGTGTATATATATATATTTATACTCACTTTTCTGTCTCTCCATATGAGTCACTGGTGTTACTGATCCTCATTGGTGTTACACATAATAAAGGAAACACCAGAGACATTTTTAAATGAACAATGCATTTTACAGAATGGCTGCTACAGAGCATCAAACCACATGTTGTCCATCATGGAATATCCACTAAAATATGGAATTTAATCCATTTGTTTTCTCACAATTACCTCAGAATAAAGTCGGTCACACCAGTGACTTCAGCTAAAAGCTTCATATGAAATCATGAGCTAAATGAGAAAATCTCTGATAACTGAACGACACAGTGGACTCACCATGTGCTTTTCTTCATAGACCCTCAGAAAACAGGTAAAAGGAAGTCAAGTGATGTCATCAGTGTGACTTTTATGTCAAAATAAGATTTTTTGTTATGTAGTGACACGACTCCTGGGGACAACAACTCTCATTATATATTTTATAATATTTATTTGGCTTTTGTTTTCTTTGTGTCATTTAATTTATATATTCCATAGTCATGTAGAGATTATTACAGTTAAAACTGCAGAACAACATTTTTACCTCAAAATATGGCCTCATCCTTCACACACGACTGCGGGGACGAGCTCTTCTGTGGTGCTTGGAATTCTATATAATTGAAGAGACAAATTGGAAAAAACAACCCAGTGGTTTTTAAGAGTGTGGAAAACTTTTCTGAGTGTGCTTGTTGCCTATTGCATCTGAGTCCAGAGAAACCAGGCATCTCCATTTTTACAGTTGTATTTTTCTATGTAATTTTAACACAGCAGCTATTCTTCACATTGTGTACACATTCCATGGTGAATGGACCAATAGAAATGCTCCAAAATTAATGGGATTCATTTCAGAGAGCCTAAAGTAAACACAGACACAGACTTTCCGTCCTGCACACCGCTGAATATAGAGGAATACAATAAGGGGTGCATGCAACAGTGTTCCCCTGATGTTATTAGCACAATTGCTAGTGCAATTGATATGCAGAGCAAATATAATGTGGACTGGATTTCAGCCATGACATTGAATTCAGCTGTTACTTCCAAATCAAGACAGCAATACAGAAAGGAATCCTGCTAAAATACATGACTAAGGTAAAGAATTCAAAAACCAGTTGTTTATAAAGCTGCAAAAACTAACTGGCATTACAAATTCAAGGGCAACCCCTACCATCTTCAGGGAAACCCTTCCGAAAGATTTAATAGGACGTTATTGTCGATGTTGAGAATGCTGTATAAGGAGCTAAAGGGAATCTGAAGTGAGTACTTGAATGGATGAAGTTATCCATGCTTATTGTACAACAAGTGAAGCCACAGTTTGCTCGCCTTTTTATTTGCTGTTTGGATGAAATCTACGTTTACCAACTGGTCTTGTTTTTGGATTACATGAGGAGGGAGAAAGACAATCATACCGAGAATATGCCCTCAAATGGCAGCAGCAGATGAAAGAGGCATATGATATTGCATCTAAGACAATTCAGAAAACTACAACCAGAGGTAAAGCTTTAGTATGTTCGTAAAAGGCAAAATTCAGTACTGGTACCTGGGGGTAGAGTGCTCGTGAGTGATCTGTCAGAGCGTGGAGATCCAGGGAAGTTGTGCTCTTTCTGGGAAGACCAGATACACATTGTTGTTTCGCAGAAAGGAGAAAATAGTCCAGTCTATGAGGCAAAACCAGAGCGTGGCTCAGGCAGAGGAAGAATACTACATTGAAACATGTTAATGCCATGTACTGCTTTGCCATTTGAGGAACCGGTTTCAGAACCCACACAATAGAAACAACAAAGGAGTACGCGGAGAGCATGTTCCAGAAAACATCCAGTTGTTGGAGTGTTGGAAGAGTTGGAAAGCTCTGAGGAGGAGCAGTGGGTCCACAGTGCCAGACATTAACAACTTTCATCAGACAACTCTTCAGGAGATGAAAGTCAGCCAGGGCTTAATCCCTAGGCAATGGAGTTCATGCAAGAGAGAACGGTACACAAGACAACAGAGGCAAATTTCGGAGGCAGTTTCGGAGATTGTGCAGTTGCGAGAGACCACATTCAGTACCTTGGCCAACTCCCTTTGGCTGGGGGCCTCGAATGACTTGCTTTTTCCCTGTTCCTGCTGGACCTTATTGATTAACAGCCTAACTTCTATAGGCTGTTATAGACTGTCTGAACTGTTATAGTAAGAAAATTTTATTTATATAGCACTTTTCTAAGACAAAGCTACAAAGTGTTTCACAATAAATAATTTAATCAAAAATTAAAATAATAAAAAAGAAATTACACACATAGGTAAGCCCATTACCTATGCTCATGATTTAAAAAAGCTAGAGAATAAAGGAGAGTCTTTAGGCTCTTCTTAAAGAAGATATGGACTCAGAGAGTCTGATATTGAGGGAAAGACTGTTCCACAGTTTAGGAGCGAAAGTCTCCCCTTCGCTTCAGATTAGTTCTAGGAACAACAATAAGCCCTTTATTAGAGGATCTCAGCGACCTGGTACTAGTATGAGAAACTAATAGTTCACAAATGTATTCAGGCGCTTCACCATGTAAAGCCTTATAAGTAAGGACCAGTACTTTAGAATCAATCCTGAATTTCAGTGGCAACCAGTGAAGAGAGGCTAGCACTGGGCTGATGTGTTCCCTATGTCCAGTTTTCATTAAGAACTGAACAGCTGCATTTCGGACCTACTGAAGTCTTGGCAAAGCTCCTTGACTAAGGCAAGTATATAAAGCGTTGCAATAGACCCAACGAGATGAGACAAACGCATGAATAATTTTCTCAGAAAATATTTCTACAGAAAGATACAACTGTGTATCATCCGCATAAAATTGGAAAGTGATATTAAAACTGTAAGAGGAAGCATATAAAGTGAAAATAAAACAGGTTCTAAAACGTTTTTGAAGAAACCTGGCAGGAGGAACATCATAGGGACTAGATGAGGGTTGCAAGTGCTGCACAGTCTCTATTAACTCATCCATTTTTATCCTTAAAAACTGTTCACACCCAATGTTAGAAACATGAGGGTTCAGCTTAACACTATTGATGAGAGAATCGATAGTAGAGAACAAAAACCTTGGATTATGCTTATTAGCTGGAAATAAATCATTCACATAAGCATCCCTAACCTTATTGTTGTACATTACAAACAAATCTGAACAAACAGATAATGAACCTGAAGCTGAGACCATTTCTATTTACGCTCTGCCTGTCTGCACTCTCTTTTCAAATTGATCTAATCTTAAAATGAGCCACATCATCTGGAATAGTCATGCATAAATTATTAAAACAGCTGGCCAAATCAGTAACATCTGCGCTGATTTCGCCGGTTAGACTGTCGCCCACAGCAGTGAAGACAACAGATGTCTCTGTTGTTTACCTTTAACGACCCCCCAGTGATGTCAGTCATGTTATAACTACAATCATGTGGGGTCAGAGGTGAACTTGATGGATATGTGATCCCTTTTTGATGCAGAAGTAACCAAAAGGGGAAATGCATTATACTGGGACTGTATTCCATTGTTCTGTTGGACTGTGTTAATTACGTTAGTTACATAGTCTTAATCCTCATGTGTTTACAAAACGTTTACATGTTGAGGACATTTATTTGGTGGGGGAAGGATGTAGTCGTTTGAAATTCAATGCTCTTTTGTTACATGCAGTTTTATTTGCTCACCAGTTGGTGGCTGTGTGGCACATTACATTGGTGGGAAGTAGTCTAGAGAAAAGTCTAGAGAAAAACGGGGCAGAGAGTTAAGACAGCATGGTGTAACGCACAGTTGTCTTACCGGAGCGCTGTAGTGCATAGCTCTTATAAAATATTTGCATATATTTGGTGAAATATCACCTCCATTTACCCAACAAGGAAAACAAGGAGATGGACTATGCCCATTTGAAGCCAGAAAGCCTCTCACTGCCAATCTTCAGTGGTAAAAAAAAACAATAGCCAGTGAAGCTGCCTTAGTTCCTTCTGCGTGTGCTAAAAACCAAAATAAAAATGATGAACATTTCATATACACTGGTATTCTGTCTCAGCCAATAGCAGGTGCAACAATGCATAGAACCGTATTTTATTTGCTCCCATTTTCTTCTTCTTCTTAGGGGTCCAAGCATCATAGGTGCATGGAATCCTGTTGCTTTTGTAGGATTTTTCTTCTCATTCTTTTTTTACCCTAAAACTGACTGGGGAGAAGACTGGCTTATTACACAAGAGGCCATAAATCAATCAGTGATGCTCTGATTCTGACCAAATTTTATATGTACTTGCAGAATAATCAGCTGAGGAGAGCTCTGAAAATGGGCTTGAATCGGCTTAAGTTGGCTCTTACAATGCTCAATGTACTGCCAACAAACTAAAACTGCATATAGATCCATATAAATTTATTTTCCTAACTTACACAGAAAGTCCGGCAAGTTGATTTAACACCTTCAATCCATTACATTCCCAAAATATTGCAATATTTTGTCCAGTCACTAGATGGAGCTCCAACAGTAATTGCAAAATGTGTACTTCAAAACATAGAAGGAAACAAACATCTTACTGTATTTAGTAGTTCAAGTTTTTTTAAAAAATTACAGTTGTTCCGCAATGGATACAAGTTTGAAAATCAGTGTTTTCTTACTACTTGTTGAGTTTTTATCAAATTACCTCAAAATTGTGCTTAAAACAATCTATGGAATACGAAGATAAATAACCATTAAAAACATAGATATAACCGAATTTAATGACACAGAATTATCTATATTTCACCATCAGGCATAACGGATGGATTGATAAGCCTTAGTGCATATATCACTTAAGCATCTAGATCATAAGAAATGTAGGTCTGTGTTCTGTGTAGGGTGTTTTCTGAATTCATTTTAAATTATACTACTCACTAATCATAAGTTGGGTATTAGTTCCTGAAATGGTGCTTGGTTCCTTATTACTCACTATCAATAAATTGTCTAAAAACATGCAGCACTGCCATGGGCCACTTTAATCAATCCTGAAAAACTTAAGATGTTGTTAATAAAAAACTGGTAGTGCTTAGATTCCTGAATTGCCACCATTTCTTCTTCTTCTTCTTCTTCTTCTTCTTCTTCTTCTTCTTCTACTTCTTCTGATGGTGGCACTATAGAGCAACATTTTTATTTTTTTTTTAACATTTGGACATTTGTAAACAGTATGGCTGCCATGTGCAAAGCCCTTTGGGGTTTTTATCTAAGGTAAACAATTAGCAAAAAAATATTGATTTCTTTACTAACTATGGTCTTCCTCTATGAATTAATCATTGTGGCCATGGCATTTATAGCAGTTGGTCTGGTCATCTCATAATTTAATGAATTTAAATGTATGCATTGGGACTCTGACAATGTGTGCAAATTTAGGTCCAGATTGGCCATATTTGGGCACTTTAGGGCTAAAAACACTTAAAGTTATTAAAAACGCTATTAAATTGTTATTATAAAGTCTACAGAAAAAATGGTGCTATGTGATTTTGTTCTCTGACCTAAATAACTTTTAAATTACATGTCATAAATTGGACTCTGTTATTTTTGCTAATTTATTCAAAGAGTACAGCTTATTACACAAAGGTCAAAAGGTCAGTCTGAATAAAACAAGGATAACATCTTTGCTGATTAATAATCATAACATATTGAGAACTTTGGACAAATTCACTTTCATTTAGCTCCTGCATGGCAAAATGGCCCCTTATGGGTGCTTTGGGCCTTATTATGGCATGCTGACCAATGGATTAAACTTTGTGAACCAAACCACTTTGCAAATACAACTATGTCAGAAAATTTTACCATTAGTCATGATTTTTGACCTTTTTGACCTCTATGATGACAATCTTAAGTATGTTAGAATGTTCTATAAAGTTTAAAGTTAGTACATTTGAAATTAAGCAGGTATCATAAATAAAGACCACTGCTCAAGAATTACAGCAAACAAAGGGCGTTTGATAAACACTGATTTCCGTTCATCTTTTTTCTCAATTCTTTCTCTTTCTCTCTTACAGGTTCTCACTCTTTGGCTGTGGTTACAACTTACATTGAAGGAGAGACTCCATTTCCAGAACTTAGTATGACCTTGATGTTGGATGATCTCACAGTTGGATACTTTGATTCTGAGATGAACACCCTTGTTCCCCGAGGTCTTAAAGACCAGGAAGATGATGGTGTGATTGACCCAGAGAAGATCAAGATCATAAGTTCTTCAATGCAAACTGACTTCAAACAGAGACATTTATATTTAAAACATGAGTTAAATTATACTGAAAGTAAGTGAAATTCTTTTTGCAGGAATCGATATGAAAGTAGAACTCCACCAACTCAACGCCCCTCATTTAACACGAGGAGGTGCTGCTTCACTTCGTAAAGACTTTGGCCACAATATTGACCTTTCCTGGTATTAATGCCACTTTAATGTCGTAATTCTAAGACTTTTTTTCTTGACATATTTCAAGTTTTTTTTCTCAAAATATGACGACTTTTTTCTCGAACTATTGCGACTTTATTCTCAAAGTCTTCTATTTTTATTAACAGTGGCCCTAAAACACTGTCGTAGAAATAACCTCAAGGGAACAAAATCAAATTAAATTGGAATTGCACAAATTTGAATTAAATTTGAATATTGAATAATTCTGAGTAGATATTGAATAAATTAATTAAGGTACTGAATAATTCATTGTAGATACTGAATAATTCATAGTAGAACATCTCTACTTGTTGTTTCCCATAACAAGTTTTTGCACCACTTTTTGTATGACATGTCCATTATCTGGTCCATGCAGTAAACCTAAGCTATATTGAACTACTTGATGGAAGAAAATACTCTATTCAGGTTTCTTTTCTACGTTTCCTGTGACAGTAATCTTAGCAATGAGAATCTGGTGTGTGGTGTAGTTGCCAAGTGGGAGGGCAGTGCTTGTTATTTTTCCTTAGCTGTATCTTCAACCCCACTTCTGCTTGTCAAAGTTATCCAGAACTCCTATACAGAGTTCTCTCCTGTCTTTCAGTTATAAAATCTCTTTGCACAGTACAAATATATGTTTAAGACATGGTCAGAACCTGCAAACTGAATAATAAACCTGCAGATTAAGGAATTTTATGACTTTTAATTGGCTTTCCATATTGTTGTAATAAGCTAAGATCAATCATATAATGTTTGACCAAGATGGCAGTTAACACTTTTTTATTTCTGTTTAAGGCATTCAAGTTCAGCAGAGGCTGGTGATGTGTGAATTGATGGACAATGACCAGCCTGGACCACTTATAATCAAGAATGCACTCGAAGGCACCACGCGAGATGAACTGCGTTTTTATGAACGCAAAATTACATATAAAAATGATTTAAATCTCACAGAAGAAAGACTGGAATTATTTTTAACTTCCACTCAGTGGCGTCATGAAAATATCTACTACCCACTGTGCATTAAAACACTCAGAGGTTACCTGAACAAGAGAAGCAATCAAGTGAAAAGGAAAGGTAAGATTTTCAAAATGGTTTTCTGCTCATCTGGAATTGAAAGATGTTTATATTTGTATAGTATTTTTTTTTTTTGGTTAGAGTAATGGCAAACGATTTTGAAGCTGAGAAAGGAGGAAAAATCAACCAGTGCCATTGCATAAACATTGGTCACAGCCAGTACAACAATTTGGAATGTCCTGAAAAAGAAAGAAACCAATGGTACTAAAAACCAGACATCAAACTGGTCAGAAGCAGTTGATGACTGAAACACAGTGAGAGCTGTGAAGAAAAACCCAAAAACAGCAGTCAGTGACATCATCAACAACCTCCACAGGACAGGGCTGAAGGCATCAACTAGCAACATCCTTGCCCAAACGGAATACCATAGCAACCACTCTTTAAACAACCAAACAACAAAAATAACCCCTTTACATTCAAGGTTTCACTACCTTCAACCATTCTGTTCTACATAAACCCAAATTAGCAAGTCTATTACAGATTACTTAACAATTTGACACAGTTTGAGGCAAAAGTGTGATGACTTAGGGACTTAGCAGTTAGCACTATACATTAACTCTGACACAAAATCAAATAAGCACATTTTGGACTCTCTTGGCTGATTCCATCTTCCATCTTCCATCGGAAAAGCTACATATCCAAACCTGATATTCTCTCTGATGTGGGATTCATGTTCTTCTCCTGCAGTGAAGCCCAGAGTGAGGCTCATCCAGAGAAGACGCTCAGTGTCTGGGTGGGATGGGGTGACCTGCCTGGCCACTGGTTTCTACCCCCGTCACATCAACCTGACCATCTTCAGAGACGGACAGCCAGTTCCTGACCAACTGACCACTGGAGGAGACCTGCTTCCCAACGTAGACGGGACCTACCAGATGAGGAAAAGCCTGGAGCTCAGTGAAGAGGAGCTGAAGAAGCACAGCTACACTTGTACAGTCACCCACCTCAGCCTGGACAACAAGCTGGACGTCCCTTTGGGTACTGAAATTCAGAGTGACACAGAAAATTCCTCAGCTGACTCTGAGCTTTTTATCACTTTCTTAAATTGTGTTTCAGATTTTGATCCAGGGGAGCCCATCGGGCCTATCGTTAGCTCTGTGGTGGTTGCTTTGGTCTTGGTGAGTGTGATGATGGCCGTCATCTGGATGATAAAGATACGCAGGAGAAAGCAAAGAGGTAAGAAAACAGGTTAGAAGAAAGTGGTTCAGCAGTTTTTATAGCTCTGCACTAAAAGAAGGCAAAATTTATCATAGCACTAAATTTGGTTGGAGATGAAATACTAGACAGTTCCTCTAATGTTTTCTCTGATGAATCTCTCTGATCATGATAACTCTTGTCTCCTTCTATAGCTTCATCTCAGGGGAAGTATTCATCAGCTTCCAGTAAGTCTTTTTGTCAAAAGAAAAGTAACAGATTTACTTAGTTGCTTCAATTATCCATTGCACACTGTACCTGTATATATCTTGAGATCCTTAGTAGGTTTCTTTCTCTAAGAGAAAATGTCAGTCTTTACGAGTGGTCACATGCTTATACATGTTGGAAATGAAAGGGAAACACATGAACGCTACCACGGTACATTTTACCCCAGATTAGGCCGTGGTCCACACTCCTCTATGGCTGTAAGTGTAGTGGTCATTATGCTCTACAGTTATACCACTTGATAATGTAGAGCTTGATAGTAGCACTATTGCATGGCAGTAGGGTAGATATAAAGCAAACACATCTATCATTTATACTGGGGACATTACCACTTTTTGAAATGCTCAATTTTGTTCTCACATTTTTTAAAAGTGTAGTGTTTTTAAAATTATAGAATTATTATTATTTTGTCTATTATAATCATTTAATATACAAAAGCGTTACTAAGACTATGCAGGAAAATTTGCTCTGTCATTCCTCGCCAATTTTACACATTTCTACAGGTATTATATACAAAAATCTAAAAATATTTTGCTCAAATCCAAAGAAGTTACTCGAGATAAAATACAATTTAAAAACAATACAACAATTGGGCATACATGTATGTACACGCAGCACCATTCTGATTGATTTCTTCAAATAATTGAAGTATTTGAAGTATTTATTAGAGTTGAATAAACCCAGTTCATTTGTTTTCTAAATTATGAAGGCATTTTTAAGGTTGAATGAACAAACTACTTTTTACAGTGTACATCACACTGTTGTTTCCCCCCAGCAGACCCTCATTCTTATCTCTAACAGAGTTACATCAATGGTTTTGAGATCCATTATGTGATTATATGCTGGTGCAGTATGTGGTGTACAGTAAATACTGACATGACTGAGCTAGTGCTGATGTCAGAGTTTGTGAGTGCTCAATATAGTATGAATTCCTGTTTAACAGAATTAATGGTCTTGCAAAATAGATGTAATATACACTCATAATGTGGCAGAAATTTTGAAATGAAGTAATTTCAATTGTGTTTTCAGGTACAGACGAAAGTGAGACTTCACTGGATGATACTAAAAAGTAATTTGAAGACTTATATCTGACCAATGGCTCTTGTGAACGAGAACTTCATCTTTTTATATATCATTATCTTAATTATTAGACATGCTGTTGGATCAAAACCTTGTATCTCCATTTTTGTCATTTTTTTCTGTTTTTGACATAATTAGCTTCTGTCCTTTATATTGTGTGTAAATTTCATGATGAATAGACCAAGTGAAAGACCCAAAATGACTTGTAAACAATTCTGGTTTCATTGACTTACATTAAAAGTAGAGTATGTTTTTTCCTTCTCCTGTAAAGTTACCATTTTGCAGACACAAGGTTTTCTTCTGACAGCAGCAAAATATATATATATATATAATTTCTCTTGGCTTTGTGTAAAATAGAAAGTTAGGGAGCTTATCTGTATTTTATTTTCTATTTCTGGTTTATGTTTAGGTGAGTTAGTGTAGGGGAGTGAGGTGGGTGTGGAGTCAGTGTTGGGTTTTGTTTGTTGTTCTGACTTTGATGTTATCATGTGGTGACTGTAACATTTCTATCCACTCTATTTTTCACATAAACACTGTTTTGAGACAATGTCTAATCTGTTTGCTTAGAGAATGGAAGTATCATTTATTACTGTTACTGTAAAGAACATTTGCTTATTTTTTAAGTTATTGTTTTGTCCATTTAATGTCTCTGAGGTGTTTCTCGCACAGTTTGTCACGGTCACTACAGCCAAGCGGAGATGAAAGTACGGCGAGGACAGCAATGTTAGGAGCATAAAAAAATCACAGACCTTCAGCAGAAGTGAATGCAGCTCCATAATGCACAGTTGTTGTTGTTGTTGAAGTCTGAGCCAGATGATGAACTGCCAGTGGAACATCACTGTTTGCTCCTAACAGACTCTCTTTAACTGATTTACCCTTTATATTCTCTCCATAACTGATATGTTCTGCCCTCAGTAGAGCCGGCTGAGCAGGTAGCAGAAAGCTAAGAGGCTAATGCTCGCAAAAAAAGACAGACTTGGAGTTCAAACCTGTAAAGATAGAGTTACTTAAAAACATACAAAGTAAAGAAAGTTATTTACATGATGTTATAAGCTTAAAATGTTTATTTAAACTAGAGATGATATCAAAACCCAACATGTTGCTGAGCTAACTCTGCTGGTTTGGCACTACCACACACTGGTGAACATGTGAGGAGCTTTATCATGGCGCTGCTTAAAGAACTGATTTCTACATCTACATTGCTGTGTAAAGGAGCTGCTTTATGGTTTTATGTTCCCGACTCTCATTACAAACACAAATAACGTTAAAATGAAATGATTTTAGTCCTCTGACTAAAGCAGGTTCTCTCACATATGTTCAGCTTTCCGTTCACAGATCAAACATCGGCACACAAGCCCTCGAGCATCCTAGCAATAAAGATTATTCACATTTTTATTTTCTCCCACGTTTCTATTATGTTAGGATGTTATAAACATTATAACATATTTTCTGTTTTATTCTTTCTGTCCATGAGCCAATCAAAGCATCATGGGGCACAGGTGGATATCTAAACATAAAAAAATTTATATATCTTTATTCCTTTCATATCTATCTGTATAGAGCCGAAATGAAATCCAGTGTGTGGTTTATATGTTTTCTTGTCTCCTCATTCGGTTGAGGCTTAATCAGCCACTTAATGTGACTATATTAACGAAGAATATCGCTGTTGTCGGAAGAAAACCTCATATCTCCATTTTTGACGTTTTTCAACTTGACATAATTTGAAAATACCTGTCGTCCTTTACATTGTATGTAAATTTTATGATGAATGGACCAAAAGAAACGGCCCATAATGACTTGGAAAAAAAGTCTGGTTCCACTGACCTACATTAAAAGTACAGTAGGTTTTTTCCTTCTCCTGTAAAGTTACTAGTTTGGAGATATGAGGTTTTGTTCCAACAACAGCGATATGTAGGTTTATATTAACTTGGACAGAAAAGTGTTTGTGTTTGTCTAGTGCTAAGATCAAAAATCTCAAGGAACATTAAACTGAACACTGAACATCACCTGAGCTAGAAAATTCTTCATGAAGCATTAATATGGTTTTAATTTACAGACTGTAGATGGTGCGATGTCTAGGAGAGAAGACTGAATTGGGGTCCTGTTTCTTTAAGAATCCTAAGGTGAAGGCAGGTACGGTCTTGTGGGACCTCTGCAGAGAGAACCTGAGAAAGAGATCGTAATTGTATTTTGGACTCGTCTCAGTCTCTTTTAGTAGAACTCTTTCCCTAAAAGCTTACGTACTACATTTGTGTATGAAATCTGTGTGAGTTACAGGTTTATAAGGACTCAAGATGGGCTGTCAGAGAGATCAATAAAAAGGAGTCCGCGTTCTTTAAGTTCTTCTCTCGTTCTAAATGTAATGACGCAGTCCAAAATCTTCTCTTGTGTGTGATGATGATGTAACAAGTGGCAAAATGAAAGTAACGGTTGTCTGTTTTTGCCAAAGTGGAGCTTTAGAACAGCTTAGTTCCGCATAGCTTCTTAAAAAAATCCACTCCAGCGCTGTGTGAACAGGAAGAGTGTGACACGTGCTTGTGTTGAAATAAACATCATTCACAGCTGTGTAAACTGGCTGCCTTAGTTAACTGAACTTCAAACAATAAGGTAACAGAATGTAAGACACAGATATTGTGATGAATTCAGTTAACTAAGAAATGTCAGGCTTTTTTTCCATTTTTCTACTTCAACACTGAATCATATTTTTTTTTACTATGCATCAGGATAATAGGTAACAACGAGGGAATTTAATAATCACACTCAAATCCTTAATATTTAATAAATATATTGCAAAAAAATTCTGTTTCGTATGTTTTATATATGTTTTCAGTGAAGATATTAAGTGAGATGTTACCAAACTGTTAACTACATGTTTTGCCAGCTTTTAAAGTGAAAAGAAGTAAACACAAACTGCAATAACTGCAAATGTTAATGCACAGTTACCTTATATGTGATGACCTTAAAAACAGAAATAAATAAAATAGTAACTGTGGCAAGTTTGGACACCTTACTGAGTGAGTACTTACTCCTCTCCCCCGACACCCCCGCAAACGCTTTTTGTAGCCAGCTGAGAGTTTTTTTTGTTTCGTTTCAGGAATTTAAACCGACTCTTCCTTGCAGAATGCCTCTATTTCTGTGACACTTCTGAGCTACGTGTGTACATAAGTTGTTATGGCTGTACTGATTTAAAAAAAAAACAATAACTGTACATTATGTACCATAATGCTTTATTTTCATTTAAAATAACTACATTTTTTTAAGATAATGTTCTAAGCCTCTGTACCCTGTACACTGGGTTCTGAATTTGTCCCATTTTTTCACTGCTTATGCGTTTGCATATCTGTATTCGTTGTGAAATTATTAGCCTCATGATTAATTTTACCATGTCTGCTGCTGACACTGAATAATACTGAAATACACTGAATAATATATACAAAGATATTATGTAGATGTTTTGAGCAATTTTGGAGCTCATAGAATTTGAAGGCATTTATTTGGGCCCTGAACAGGAACTGTGGCCTAAAAAATCCTAGAATCACCAGTGCTTAAAACCAAATTAAGTTTAATTCACATCAGAACAATCAGAATGGACAGTGTTAGTTCAGGTAGTTAGATATTAAATCACATTTTCTCTGTTTATTACTTAATTAATAAATCCTGTGTAGGAAAGAACAGCTGTGTGTTTTCACAAGAAACTAGAAATTCAGTGGGAGCCTGACAGCGGCTTAACTGGTCTATTCAGCATATGGGTACGAGTAAGAAAGACAGGGTTATGCGCTTGCTACAGAAATTGGCTGAAGTCTAAGCAAATACATAAAATTGTTAATGTTATCATTATTATGCAATAAATGCTATTTAAATTGTACCTTTACTCTGTGGAAAACTTTGATAGAGGTATGAAAACAGGCATCGTTTCTCCAGACTGCTGTCACCTGAACTTTCTTTCTTTAAAGGTTGTCTAGCGCTACATTAGCTGATGATGAATCTAGGTTAGCTCACCCTGCTGAACATCTGTGTGTACAGACCCATGCCCAGACAGTGTCAGGGGGCAGGATCTTAAGGGAACAAGGGCAACACGAACATGAATTAAACCTAATATCATTCACTTATTATACCTACTCTTATCCAGAGAGACGGTGCTTTAAACTGTTCTATAAGTTCTTCTCTCCTTGTAAATGAAATGACGCAGTCTAAAATCTTCCCTGTGTGATGATGTAACAAGTGGTAAAATGAAAGTAACGCTTGTTTGTTATTGCCAAAACATTAAAGGTGGGTGGAGCTTTAGAACAGCTTAGTTCTGTATAGCTTCATAGAAAAATCCCCACATAATCAGATCAGTAGATTCACTTCAGTATTCACAAACAATTCACCTTCTGTTCACTGTTTTTTCTTTCAGTGCGTATGCCTGACATTTTTTTTTTGGCAGATAAGAACATTCATATTCATTACATTACATTTTACCACACACAGACACAGACACACACACTCACACGTGTGTATATATATATATATATATATATATATATATATATATATATATATATATATAGGTCATTCTACAGAAACGTCCACTTTTCTATCTGTCCATAGGAGTCACTGTGTTACTGATCCTCATTGGTGTTACTCATAATAAAGGAACACCAGAGACATTTTTAAAGGAAAATGCATTTTACAAAATAACTGCTACAGAGCATCAAACCACATGTTGTCAATCATGGAACATCCACTAAAATATGGAATTTAATCCATTTGTATTCTATTTTTTCACAATTACCTCAGAATAAAGTTGGTCACACCAGTGACTTCAGCTAAAAGCTTCATATGAAATCAGGAGCTAAATGAGAAAATCTCTGATAACTGAAAGACACAGTGGACTCACCATGAGCTTTTCTTCATAGATCCTCAGAAAACAGGTAAAAGGAAGTCAAGTGATGTCATCAGTGTGACTTTTATTTATAAAATAAGAGATTTTTGTTACGCAGTAACACCAGTGACACGACTCCTGGGGACAACAACTCTCATTATATATTTTATAATATTTATATGGCATTTGTTTTCTTTGTCATTTAATTTCTATATTTCCACAGTCATGTATAGATTATTGCAGTTAAAATTGCAGAAAAACATTTTTACCTCAAAATATGGCCTCAGCCTTTAAACATGACTGTGGGGACGAGCTCTTCTGTGGTGCTGGGAATTCTATATGATTGAAGAGACAAATTGGAAAAAACAACCCAGTGGTTTTTAAGAGTGTGGAAAACTTTTCTGAGTGTGCTTGTTGCCTATTGCATCTGAGTCCAGAGAAACCAGGCATCTCCATTTTTACAGTTTTCTATGTCATTTTAACACAGCAGCTATTCTTCACATTGTGTACATAAGCAGAAATGAAAGTAAGACTTGCCAGAACAACAATTTGGGTGGAGCACAATGGCAGAGTTTATGTAACAGCGAACCGTTATAACCAGTTCAGTAGGTTTGGTTTAGCAGTCCGCTCAAAAGATTGAAACTACGATACTTGTTTGTGCCGAAATGGATGGAATCCGTGCTCTGTTGTTTGTTTTGTTTTTACCTGCCGCTGTTTCAGCAGGTAAGAGCTCAGAGAATCTGAACACATATATATATATATATATATATATATTTAGACAAAATTGTGTTTACTTATTTTGACTTCAAAAATCAACAAAACATGCGTACATACAGTGACGTGCAAAAATGTAGGCGCTCTCAGTCTGAATTTCTGTTACTGCGAATGGCTAAATGAGTAAAAGATGACTTGATTTCCAAGAGACATAAAGGTAAAGACGACACATGAGCAAGATTACTATTTTATTTCATTTACAGTTTCAAAATAACATAAAATGAAAAGGGCCCAAAGCAAAAGTTTGGGCACCCTGCCTGGTCAGTGCTTAGTAAGACCCCTTTGGCAAGTATCACAGCTTGTAAATGCTTTTTTTTGTAGCAGCTAAGAGTCTTTCAGTTCTTGTTGTTCTGACTGTGGGGAGATTTGCATCACCTGACTCTTCCTAACAATGACTGAACAAGCCATCGTCCAAACAAGCTGATGACGGCCTTATTGAACAGCTCTGATCTCTTGGGGTGTCCAGTCTTGCAGAGCCGCCTTTCTTTTTAAACTTTAAAATTGTACACAATAAAAGTAACACTAATTTTATATAAAGTGCTTAAAAGAATGTTTCATCCTAAAATTTATGCCCTTTGAATGTCTGATCATCTTCTACTCACATTTATGGTAACAGAGATTTTAACATGGGGTGCCCAAGCATTTGCATGCCACTGTATATGAATATATAAATGATTATGGCACAGTACTGACTGTTTTGGTAGGGATGATTTTAGCTCATGTTGAGCAGAATTCAAAAATGCAGCCAGTACAGACCAGCAAACACAGCTTTGAACAGCTGTCACACATAAAATCATCATATTTTACATTAAAACACTAAAAAGTACAGAAAGTCTGTGTTTCAGTAGTGACTAGTCTCAAAGTGTAATAGTACACAATGGTGTGACTAACTGTGAGTTATACAGGTTAACTGGTGACACACAACACTCCACCCCCCCTCTCTCACTACAGGTTCTCACTCTTTAGCCATGGTTACAACGTTCATCGAAGGAGAGACGCCGTTTCCAGAGTTTAGTTTCACACTGATGCTGGATGACATCACAGTGGCATACTTTGACTCTGAGACTGAGACCCTTTTTCCTCGAGGTGTTGATCGAGATCAGGACGACGACGGTGTGATCGACCCAGATCATCTCAAGACCATCACGTCCTACATGCGTGCTGACTTTAAACAGAGACATCTGTTTATAAAATATGAGTTAAATTATACTGAAAGTAAGTGAAACACTTTGGGAGAAAAAAGCTGGTACAATGATATTAAAGTGTGAATATGTAATCAGGCAAACTGTACAAACAAGGAAACTCAAACTTCAGTTTCAGTTTATGAGGGTACTGTTCAGTTCTGCAAACCTGTTACCAGCAAATAACCGGAAGGGAACACTACAAAAATTACAACAATTGCATAAATTTTGATTAAATGTGAAAAAACTTAGTATATTTAGGAAAGTAATTTACAATTACAGTAACATTGCAAAAAATAATGTACCATTATTTGACATAAGTTGTATACACAAGTGCAATTTAATTCAGAATTAATAGAATAAGAAGGTTTTCTAAACTTATTGAAAATTTGTATATCACTGCTGTCGGAAGAAAACCTTGTATCTCCATTTTTTGTTGTTTTTCAGTTTTTGACATAATTTGAAAATACCTGTTGGTCTTTACATTGTGTGTAAATTTCAGACCAAAAGAAACAGCCCAAAATGACTTGGAAAAAAGTCTGGTTCCATTCCAGACTTACATTAAGAGTAAAGTAGGTTTTTTCCTTCTCCTGTAAAGTTACCATTTTGGAGATATACGGTTTTCTTCCGACAGCAGTGATATGCTTAGTTAGAATTACTGAATTATTTGCACCAACATTCATATAAAAAGTCAGTAGGACCCATGTTACTGTGCATCTTACTGATTAAAAAAAACCTACACACTGCTCTCACTGATGTTGTAAAAATTGTTACTTGCATTTCTCATATTTTTCTATAAAAATATTTTTAATACACAAAATATGAAGCATTTTCCAAGCCGTTTTCTGCTAGTTTGTGCATGCACTAATGCCACAGCTGACTACACAGCTCGTCACGTGACCTCGATTGTGAAGAGCACAGCACAAACACAGTTTAGCGACAATGGCAGAGGACGAGAGTGGATGTTTCCACAAATGGAGATTCTCATTATTCTGATATTCTATACAGTACCATCAAGTGTAGCTCTGTCCCAGCCAAAAGCATCTTTCCTGAAGGAGAGAGTGCCCAGACTTACTTTGCTCTGCTTTAAGGTTTAGCTCCGCTATATTTTTACAAGGCTGAAGTCACTTCTCATTCGCCAGCTTTGTGTTCTAGTTTTTCCATTCCACCTTAAATGACACCTGAGGTGGCAAAATGTAACTGCTGCATTTAAGGTGGAACAGGAAAATTCAAACAAGAAGCTGGCGAATGAGAAACTGACTTCATCTTTGTGACTTTAGTGTTTGTCAGTTTCGCGTTGCAGATTAAACGTATCAGGAAACCAGCTGGAGTGATTATAAACACAAATAAGTCCATTCGTCTCTAAATTATCGATGTTCGTCTTAAATCTCTCTCTTTGCTGTTTTGTTAGCTACTAGCTAGGCGAGATTGTTGTCTGCATTGTTATGGTGACCAGCGGTCTGCGCTGATCTTCAGGGTTAAAGGGTGAATTAGCAGTTCTACATTAACTCCAGAGTTTAAGACCATTTATTGTTAAACTGTGTTGAACGATCAGCAGAGCTTTATTTTACTGTAAAGGAGGATTATTTTATTTTTACCTACAAATCTGATTCTGCTGTGGAGCCACAACAGGGCAGTAAGAGAGGTTGGTCGCTGGTTTAGACAAATACTGAACAAGATACCAGTCAGCGGCAAAAGCATACCCCCATCAGACTGAAAAATATTTGCAAGCTATTTGGTTAATTCAGTTCTTATACTTGCCTGTCCACAAGCTTGAAGTATAGGTTTTGTTTTGTTGGACCACTAAGAAGCTTTTATTGGACTATATTTTTCTACTGCTTAAATATATGGACTTATAATAACACCAAGTATAGTGAAATTAATTTTATGCATGATTAATGTTGCTATTACAGGCACGTTTTGTTCCTAAATAAACTATAGAAAGATATATTGTCTATCATTTTTGTATTTTCCAGTTTGTTTTTAGATTTGATTCCAGTGTATTGTTCCAGTGTGGATTTTAGAATGTAACGTAAAAGTAAAGTAATGAGGTTGGAGATGATATTTTCCAGAAAGTACACAGTTTTTAACCAAGAAAGCAGGTAACACTCTCCCTTTTATGTCTGTTTTAGGTGTTGAAGTTCAACAGAGGCTGGTGCTGTGTGAACTGTTGGACAGTGACCAGCCTGGACCGTTTATACTCAAGAATGCAGTTGGAGGCACCACGAGAGATGAACTGCGTTTCCATGAACACAAATTTACATATCAAAATGCTTTAAATCTCACAGAAGAAAGACTGAAACCACATTTGGAGTTAACTATGTTGCGTCACGAAAACCTGTACTACCCAGTGTGCATTAAGACCCTCAGAGGCTACCTGAAAAAGAGAATGAATCAGGTGAAGAGGAAAGGTAAGAGACTCTTCTACAGGTCTGGAAATGTTTTTTATTTGAGCCGCATGATGATTCGATTTATATAGCAATTTTTGATGTTAGAGTGCCTTATAAACAGGCCAAATCACACAGTAAACATTAAATAAACAAATAAATAAAATACAAATAAAAACATCTCTACTTTAAAATAGTTATTCTAGTTAGAAAAACAGCAGCTTCACAGATACAGACACCAGGACCTTTTAAAAAAGGAGCAGCGTGTGAGCTCCTCTTAAGTAAGGCATCCACAGCCCTACCACTCAGCCCTAATTACCCTGTCCTGGCTCTCTAGCCCCTCCTAGTGGCCAGAGGTACCCTAGCAGGCCGCCTGGACGTTACAACCATGGCAACGTAACATTTCTGTATTTTCAAATGAACCACATTAGCAAGTCTATTACAGAAAACTGATCGACATGACAGTTTGAGGCAAGTGTGATGACTTAAGCACAGTTAGCACTATGGTAATTGCTTTTTAGCTGCATCGGCTCCAACACAAAACTAAAGAAATGAACTTCGGACACCAAACATCTCTCGGCTGGTTGACTACATTTACATCTAATGTAGCTACAAATCTGAACCTGATATTCTCTCTGATGTGGGATTCATGTTCTTCTACAGTGAAGCCCAGAGTGAGGCTCATCCAGAGAAGATGCTCAGTGTCTGGGTGGGATGGAGTAACCTGCCTGGCCACTGGTTATTACCCCCGTCACATCAACCTGACCATCCTCAGAGACGGACAGCCAGTTCCTGACCACCTGATCACTGGAGGAGACCTGCTGCCCAACGTCGACGGGACCTACCAGATGAGGAAAAGCCTGGAGTTCAGTGAAGAAGAGCTGAAGAGACAAAATTACACTTGTACAGTCATCCACCTCAGCCTGGACAACAAGCTGGACGTCCATTTGGGTACTGAATCTCAGAGTGACACAGAAAATTCCTCAGCTGACTCTGAGCTTTTTATCACTTTCTTAGATGATGTGTTTCAGATTTTGATCCAGGGGAGCCCATCGTGCCAATTCTTACATCTGTGGTGGCGGCTCTGGTCTTGGTGAGTGTGATGGTGGCCGTCATCTGGATGATGAAGATATGCAGGAGAACAGGTAAGAAAGCAGATGAGGAGAAATTGGTTCAGCAGTTTTTATAGCTCTGCACTAAAAGAATGCATAATGTATTTATAGTGCTAAATTTGGTAGGAGATGAATTGCTGGACCTTTCATTGAATGTTTTCTCTGATCGTGTTCGCTTTCTTATTGTCTCCTTTGACAGCTTCATCTCTGGGGGACTATTCATCAGCCTCCAGTAAGTGATTTTTTAATGGAAAGTTAAAGATTCATGTATATGCTTACATTTATTTTATTTATATGCTAAGAAATCTTCCATACAAAACTACTTCTGTGCAATCTGGTTAATGCAACCACTTTAGTACCAGTGTGTCCTGGATCTATATATACAGAATACAGTATATGTTGGTACAGTATGCAAAATACTGTATTTACAAGAACTGTATACTGCACCAGTATACATTATATAGTGCCTACTGCACCAGTATACATTATATACTGCCTACTGTACCAGTATATACAGTATTCTGCATACTGCACCAGTATTAATTATATTCCACATACTGTACCAGTATACATTATATACTGCATACTGTACCAGTATATACAGCATTCTGCATATTGCACCAGTATTAATCATACTCCACATACTGTACCAGTATATATTATATACTGCATACTGTACCAGTATATTATATACCACATTCTGTACCAGAATATACAGCAGTTTTGCAAACTGGACCAGTATATACAGTATTCTGCATACTGCACCAGTATACATACAGTAGTTTTGCATATTGCACCAGTATATATTGTATACACAGTATACTGTACAGTATATACAGTATACTGTATATACTGTACCAATATATTATATTCTGCATACCACACCAGTGTTTTTGCGTACTGCACCAGTATATGCAACATTTTTGGATACTGTATCAGTTTTTTATATAGCACATCGAGCACAAGTATATACAGTCTTCTGCAAACTGCACCAATGTATATACAGAAGTTTTGCATATTGCACCAGTATATATTATATACTGCAAACTGTATCAGTATATACAATATTCTGCACACTGCATCAGTGTATATACAGTATTTTTTGCACACTGTATACTATCTACTGCATATTGTACCATTGTGTAATGTATACCACATACCTAACCGGTGTATACAGTACTCTGCATATTGCACCAACTGTATCTTAAAATTACTTGATTTAATTTATTGAAATTAAAAGCAATATCACAGTTGGTCATACATGTATGCACATTAAGCACCATTTTGGCAGACAATTGTGATCATATTGTAACATCCTGTCTTGCCCTGCTTTGTCTTCCCTTGATTCTCTTTGTCTACCTTTGTTTATCTTGCCTCCTGTGTCTTCTCCCATGTGATTTTCTTTACGTAGACCATGTGCTTTTGTTGTTGTTTTGGTCTTTGACTCCTCCCCGGTCCTGCCTTCTTGTCATCTGTCTCACCTGTCTGTTATCTGTAGCCCTGCCCTCTAATGAGTCCCAGGTGTTTCTGGTCTGTTTAATGTGTATTAATACCACTGGTTGTGTGTTTTGTGTTTGCTGGGTGTTTTGTGTTCTCAGGCCCTGTTTTCATTATCTCCCGTTTGTTTTCTAGTCCTCTTCATGTTCTTTAGTCTTGTTTCTTTTCTGTTGTTTTTCTTTTCTTATTGTTTTGTTACTTTGTGGATTCTTTCATCAAAACCAAGGACTTGCACTTTTCATCCTGCTTCTTTGCCTCTTTCTTTGTTGCACATAAACTGTAAAAAAGTCGTCCCTTTTCTTAAAAAAAGTGTTGGGGCAAGAATGAAGGCCTGTAGGGGGAAAACCTGCATAAAAAGTGGTTCATTCACTCAACCTTGAAAAATATTTGAAGGGTTTAAACTGCTGGCCAGTTCAGGGATGTTTAGAATCACTACAGGGCGTCAGGTCAGGACGCTTCTCTAATGCTTTCCAGAGAGCCACCACCAACTTGAATCCAACTGATTTACTTTAATGTGTGAAAGGGTGTGTGTGTGTGTGGTTCTAGAACAAAAACAAATATGCACAGGCATACATGTGTACAAAATGTATGTACAAAAAATATACGACAACAAATGCAGACATTATAATGCTTACATTGTTCTGTAGGACCGTCATTTAAGGTGTTTGCCGAACAGATCAACTTAAAGCGCTCTGTATGCGCATTACTGTGTACACAATTTTAGCTGAGTCATGACTGAAACTTCTCAAGCCTCGGCGAACTTGTTGCGGCAGATCGTGATAAACACTTAACTTTACACTGTTGTACACTTCTAGCACCGTATACAAAAACATACGTCCAGAAATGGCACATTCAAGAGCAAGACAACATGCCGTACCATAATAAGCATATGTGGGTAATTAGCAATACAGACATACTGGCGAACTGTGCCGACCAAATGTTTAGAAGTAATGGATAATGCTAAACTTGAAATGGACAAAGTTAACTTACATACTTACATTTAAATGTGTGCACACAACACATTGAAAATGGGGTAAATCCCAGGGCCAAACAATCCCAAGACCTCAACGAATTCTTGCATTTCCTCCTCTCCACTACCATGGAACAACCCAGACCAACCTACAAAACAGAACGCTCTGTGCAGCACTCCGATTGGCCAAAGGCATACAGGTAGGCGGACTGAACATGAACAAGTCACTAAAGGGAAAAATTAAAGTCACGGGCGGCCCTTTTTAACACAACCTAACAAAAAGGTTCTTCATCTGGTAAAACGCAATTTAACTGGTTTTATTCATCTCAAACAAATGTTTCATTCAGAGTATTCATTTGAGTTAAATAAAGCAGTTTTTATTATTTTTTGCCTCATGAAAAACCTATTTAGGTTGAACCAATAAATGACCACAGCGTTTAAAACAGCGTTACATCTATGGTTTTGAGATCCATTATGTGATGATATACTGGTGCAGTATGTGCTGACATGACTGAGCTAGTGATGTCAGTGAGTTTATGAGTGCTCCATTTAGAATAAATCCTGTTTAACAGAATGCATTACAGTCTTACACATTAAGATGCAACATACACTCATAGTGTGGCAGATATTTTGAATAATTCATTAATTTCAATTCTATTTTCAGCCACAGAAGAATGAGAGGCTTCACTGGATGATCTGTCCGAGGGCTCTTAGAAGGAGAACTTCAATAATCTAAAAACATTCTGTGTTCTCTGTGAATTACTTATTTGTCTTTTTATATTCTACTATTTTACTCAGTAGACATGTAAATATTGTTTAATATACACTATATACTCTGTACCAGTTGCTATTCATTGATTATTTAGAGACCTGTAACAGATTGAAAGGCTTTGCATGCACTTTCTAATCCATGAAATTTTATATAATGTGGATTAGTGTTGATTTTTTTTAATTATTGTTTTAAAAAGTATTAGAATATGACATTTTTAGGAAAAATAGGAAAAGCATGCTTAGATGAAACTGCAGAAAATGTAATGTTGTCTTTGTTGTAATAATACAAATAAAAGTGAATGAAATGGACATAAATGGAATGGAAAGCATGCAAAGAAAAATTTGATTTATCTTTGTCATCTACTCAACTACCATGTGGGCCCACCACCTGCAAGGTCCAGCATGGGGGATCAGTGCAGTGCCGTATAGGCATTGGGAGATGGCGGGGAGGCCCTTGGCGGCATAGGCCCCTGCAGCATAAACTGGCTCTTGGTATGTGGGTATGGGGAAGGAGCCAGAGCTTGTGTGGGAGGTTGAGAGGTACCAACTATATATAGTTGGGCTCACCTCTACCCACAGTGTCGGCTCTGGAACCAAACTCCTTGATAAGGGTTGGTCCCTCTCCTACTCAGGGGTTGCACAGGGTGAGAGGCACCGGGCGGGTGTGGGGATACTCACGAGTTCCCGGCTGAGTTTGTCCTGGTGGACCAGAGGGCTGCCTCAATGCGAATTAAAATTGCAGAGAGGAAAACTCTGACTGTTGTGTGTGCCTTCTTGGAGCAAGTAGGCGGGGTTCTGGAAAGGGCCCCGCCTACAGACTCCATAGTCTTACTGGGAGACTTCAATGCTCATGTTGGCAATGACTGGGAGATCTGGAGAGGCGTGATTGGGAAGAACGGCCTGCCCGATCTAAACCCGAATGGTGAAATGTTATTGGACTTCTGTGCCAGGCATGGATTGTCCATAACGAACACCAGGTTCGAATACAAGGATGTTCATAAATGTACATGGTACCAGAGCTCCTTGGGTCAAAGGTCAATGATCGACTTTGTCGTTTCATCTGACTTGGGACCATATGTTCTGGACACTCAGGTGAAGGGAGGTGCTGAGCTGTCAACTGATCACGATCTGGTGGTGAGTTGGATCTGATGGCAGGGAAGAATGATGGTCAGACCCGGTAGGCCCAAGCGAATAGTGAGGGTGTGCTGGGAACGACTGTCGGAGGCCCCTGTTCGGAATGATTTTAACTCCCACCTCCGGGAGAGCTTTTCTCATGTACCGGAGGAGGTAGGGGACATAGAGTCTGAATGGACCCTGTTCAAAACCTCCATTGTGGAAGCTGCCAGGCGTAGCTGCCAAGGTGCTGGAAAGGAGACTTCAACCGATAGTTGAACCTCAGATTGAGGAGGAACAATGCGGATTTCGTCCCGGCCGTGGAACAATGGACCAGCTTTTCACCCTCTCACAGATTGTTGAGGGGGCATGGCAGTTTGCCAACCCAGTCTACATGTGTTTGGTGGACTTGGATAAAGCTTATGACCGTGTTCCCCAAGATATCTTGTGGGAGGTCCTCCGGTGGGGTGCCGGGGTTACTACTCCGGGCCATTCAATCTCTGTACTCCCGGAGTGAGAGCTGTGTTTATATACTCGGCATTGAGTCAGACTCTTTCAGTGTTAGCGTTGGACTCCGCCAACGTTCGATCTCCACTCCTGTTCGTGATATTCATGGACAGGGTGTCAAGGCGTAGCCGTGGTCAGGGGGGCATTATGGGTGGTGTCTCTGCTATTTGCAGATGATGTTGTTCTTATGGCTGGATCACATGGATGCCTCCAGCACTAACTGGAGCGGTTTGCAGCTGAGTGCAAAGTGGTTGGTATACGGATCAGCACCTCCAGTTCTGAGTCCATGGTCCTAGCCCAGAAAAGGATGGCATGCCCACTCCAGGTAAGTAGAAAGGACTTGCCCCAGGTGGAGGAGTTTATGTATCTCGGGGTCTTGTTCACGAGTGATTGGAAGAGGGATCTTGAGATCAGCTGCAGGCTGGGACAAGCGGCAGCAGTAATGCGGTCACTGTACCGGACTGTAGTAGTGAAGAGGGAGCTGAGCCATAAGGTGAAGCTCTCTGTTGGTCTACATCCTGACCCCCTTACCTATGGTCATGAGCTGTGGGTAATGACCGAAAGAATGAGATCGTGAATACAAGCGGCGGAAATGAGCTTTCTACACAGGGTGGCGGGCTACACTCTACTTGATAGGGTGAGGAGCTCGGCCATCCGGGAGGAGCTCGGAGTAGAGCTGCTACTCCTCCGCATTGAGAGGAGCCAGTTGATGTGGTTCGGGCATCTGATCCGGATGCCCCCTGGACGCCTCCCGGTGGGGGTGTACCAGGTACGGACTACTGGGACAAGACCCTGGGGTCGTCCTAGGACCCACTGGAGGGATTATATCTCCAAGTTGGCCTGGGAGCAGCTTGGGGTCCCCTGGAATGAGCTGGAGGAAGTTGCGGGGGACAGGGTCATCTGGTATTCTCTGCTCTCCCAATTGCTACCATGACCCTACCTGGACTAAGCGGTTAATGATGATGATGATGATGATGATGATCTTCTGAATTATGGTGCAATTAATTCTCAGTCCCCCTAAACTCACTTACATTTAGTAGGAGGATCATAGACATCATTTGGTTGTGTCCTGAGCCACATACTGTACTATATATACAACAATTACATTAACGTAACCTCTTTAGTTCCCAGGCTTACTAACACCTTAAAAGCATTACCTGTGTTACAAGACGCCGGTTGTGATTTTATATATATATATATATATATATATATATATATATATATATATATATATATATTTATTTATTTTTTTTTAAATTTATTTATTTATTTATTTATTTTTTTCTATATTCTATTTTCTTTACTAAAGAGCCCTTGAAGAACCATCATTTTTAAGTGTGTATAACAGCAGTGTTGAGTCCACCAGCTGGCAGACTGCTGTCTCGTTCCTTGTTTGCATGCTTTGTGCTTTAATCCTTTGATTGTCAGTAGTGTGTTTAACCCGTTGTCTGTTTTTGACCTTGATATTTATTTGACCCGATTTAGATTTGTTGGCTTGGTGGTAAATCTTCTGTAAATATTATGTATGTTTGTAAGTCCTCTCATAGCACATACTGTGGGTGGCTGGGAAGCAGGGAGTTTGACAACATTTGTGTTTTTATTCACTTTTTCTCCTGGTTATCACTAGTTAGGGAAGGTTAATGTGTCTTTTATTTCACTTTGATTTTGGTCAGATAAGGCAGTCTCTATCTTTCTTTAGCTAGTTGTGTGTTTTGTTTGTTGTTTTGGCCTTTGGCTCCTGAGGTTTAACCCTTGTGTGGTGTTCATGTGTTGGTTATTCAGTGGTCTGGTGGACCCACCGCATTATTGTTCATTTAAATTCAATACATAATAATTTATGTAAAAATAGCAGATGTTTAAAATATGCTAGGGTTCTCCTTTAGCAGCTGTAGCCAGTCAGCAGCCTGTCCATGTTGTCCACCCTCACACACACACACATATATATACACACACACACACACACACACACACACACACACACACACACACACACTAACAGCAGGCCATGTAGGAGGAGAACAGAGTGAAGGACACAGCACCTCCACACTTTTACTCCCTGTGGGTTCAGCCCAACACCACATGTGTAATATAAATGTGTGGAGGGTGAACAGAGTGAAGACACTGAAAATGGGTTATTTTATATGTTCTTCACAGAAAATGAGCAAAGGACAAGAATCTGAAGGTGAAATAATAATAAATCACATCATTTTTTCTTTTGGTAAACAATAAAAATGGGTCCCACAGACCCGAACACCACACAAGGGTTAAGACAGAGTGAGACGAGAAAATTACCATAAAAAGGTGAAGTATCTGAAAGGGGGATGAGGACAAAATGAAGCAAAAAAATATTCAGTGTTTAACTTAAAAGTTAATAAACTTGCTGTCTTAATTTTGAGTGCATTGAACTTCAAACAATAAGTTAACCGAATGTAAAACACCATCAGCAATGAGATGAGACTGGATTCAGATGCAGGCCTTTATTTAAACTAGCAAGCGGATTAGATCACCAGCGAGTTGGCTACTGTGGGGCAGACAGGCTCAAAACCGAGACACATAAAAATAATAATAATCACAATTAAATATGTTTTACAACAAATTCTATTTTCTTTTACTTCAGAAATATATCAAGGTATGTTTTCAGTGTGAGAGAAAAGATTAACAGAGCAGTGAGGCCGTTCTGGATTAAACACAGAAGCTCCTAAAAGACATTCCATAAGTTCTATTTGAAGCTTGTAACAGATTAACAAATCTAAATTACACATCATGTCAATTTTTAAAATGAAAAGAAGTAACACAACCTGAAATAACTACAAACATTAATGAGTCACACCTTACTGAGTCAGGACTTATTAAGTTTCAAACACTTCCTGTTCCTGTTTAGGAATTTTCACCCACTCTTCCTGGCAGAGCGCTTCTAGTTCTGCGACATTCTTGGGCCTTCTTACCTGCACAGCATGTTTAAAATCTACCGCCGATTCTCAGTGAGGTGCAAGTGAAGGTACTGAGAGGACACTTTTAAAAGCTCCAGTTTGTGTTTCTTGAAGTAGTTTGTGGCGAATTTTGTGGTACGTTTTGGATCATTGTCCCGTTGTAGAAAACTCTTTACAGCTTCATTTTTTTGACTGACTGTGTCACATTAGCTTCACAAATTTGCCAATATTTAGTGGAATCCATCTACCTGTGCAGTGTTTTCTGAGCCACTGGCTGCCACAACACACAAAGGCATAATAGATCCACGCTCATGTTTAACAGTCAGCACGGTGTTCTTTTCATCAAATGCTGCTCCCTTTTTTTCTTCAAACATAACTTTGGTGATTTTTACTCCATCAGTCCACAGCACTTATTTCTGAAATACTTCTGGCTCATCAAGATGTTTTGCATATTTCAGACAGCATTTGTAATGATGTCACATGTAAGGCTTTCTTCTGATGACTCTTCCATGCAAATCCTGTTTGTGCAAGCAATGCTGCACAGTAGAACAGTGCACCCTCACTCCTGTGTCTGCTATACCTCCCTGTAGATCCTTTGCTGTCATGTGAAAGTTTTGCTTTGCCTTTCTGGCAGCAAACAAGCAGATCTATCCAAGAGTTGTCTTGGTCTGCTCAACCAGTCCTAGAGAGTTAGTTAAGTTTTGAGGCTTCACAATTGGAAAGATGTCTAAAAGTTTGCAACATGCCTCAATTGCTATTTTTGTTTTTTTGTTTTTTGTTTTTTTCTATTTTTTCAGAGTGCTGTCAAGTCAAATCCGACTCCTGTGGATCATATAGATAGTGTTTCTCCAGAATATCCTTTCTTCTGTTTGGGTGTTTAGGCTTTTAAATGTCTGGTTTATGATTCCTCTGATTGTCTCCATCCATCTTGTAGCTGGTCATCTTCATCCTCTTATACCCTCAACTCTTCCAAGCATAATGGTCTTCTCCAATGAACTGGTTCTACTCAGAATGTGTCCAAAATAAGAGCTCCAGTTTGGTTATCTGGGCTTTGAGTGAGAGGTGAGGCTTGATTTGTTCAATTCATTTGAATCTGTTTCATTGCAATCCCAAAAAGTCTTAAATGGCATCAATATTAAAATTATCATGCATATCTGGGCCCATCTGACTTCACCTTCTAGCACTGAAGGTTCTTCTGTTTAGCCAACGTCAACAAAGTGTCTTGGCAATCGAAATCTTCTTTGTAGAAGTCTTCTGTCAATGCATCACTTTTTCAGTGCACACACTCTGATCAGCCCTGGATCATGTTTACTTCCCTTCTGTTCTTTAACACTGGCTCTGTAGGAAGGGTTTGCAGTATGTGAAATTACATCAAGCTTAAATCATGTTCAGGCTGGCTTTCCTCCCTTGAGCCCACACCCCTCAAAATGCTTGTGTATGAGCCTGACTGACTCTCAACATCACCGACTCCTTTAAATATATGCATCACAAGCAGGCTGGGCAGGTTTAGTGTGTCCTGGTCATTTGATTCATCCTCTACTTGTAAATGAGAGTCTGAATTGTTCTCTCGCTGTGTATCAGCACTGTGTTCATACAGTTAATGGCAGAAATGAAAGTAAGACTTTCAAAAAAAGGTGGGTGGAGTGTGAGGGCAGAGTTTGTAAGACTGGGAAACATTATAACCGGTTCAGTAGGTTTGGTTTGGCAATATGTACTGATGATTTAAACTGCACCACTTGTTTGTGCCAAAATGGAGGGAATCTGCGCTCTGTTGGTGGTTTTGTTTGTACCTGCCGCTGTTTCAGCAGGTAAGAGCTCAGAGAATCTGAACAGCCATATTATTTTTACTTACATTGATGATTTGCAGTTGCAAAATTTAGAACAGTAAATCAGTAAAATTACCTATAGCTATTACATCACATTTTCTCTTTAAATTATTTATTTGGTGCTGTATTGAAAGGAACAGATATATCTTTTCACGAGAAAGAAAGGAATTTAATAATATAACAATGGCAGCAGCACAATTGGTCTATTCAGCATATGAGTGTGAGCAAGAAAGCCTAGGTTAGGCATATGCTAGAGAAATTGGCTAAAGCCTAAGCAAATGCATAAAATTGTTCCTGCAATTATATTATTATTATTATGCAATTTAATGGTATTTAAATTGTGTTTAGTAAGGTAAAAAGCATATTTTCACTTAGTAGAAAGTTTGGTAACACTTTATTTGGATAGTCCACTTTAGATGCTTTGTAGATGCTCAATTTACTTACATTCAATTAAATATCTACTAAATTGATCATAATTTTCTTTAACTCTGAACCTGCTCTAATCCTAAAACTGACCTTAACCTCAACCCAAATCCTACCCCCGCCCTGGTCATAGCCCTAACACTGGTCCAAATCCTAACCCTAACCCCACCACTGTTTAGAATCATCAGAACTATAGGGGACTATAGTGGAATACAGGCATGCATTCCAGACTGCTTTCACCTACATTTCTCTTCTTTAACAGTCATCCAGCTCCTACATAAGCTGCCTATAAGATCCACATAAGCCAACATTGAGTCTAGAGTAGCTCAGCCTGCTGAACACCTTCAACACATTTTCCATTTTTGTTTACAGGCCCGTACATTGGGTGTGTGTGTGTGTGTGTGTGTGTGTGTTGGTACACATGGTACACAAAAGTGTGACTAACTGTGAACATATAACTCCGATTCCACGCTCCTCTCTTACAGATTCCCACTCTTTGGCTGTGGCTATAACTTTCATTAAAGGAGAGACGCCGTTTCCAGAGTTTAGTTGCACCTTGATGTTGGATGACATCACAGTTGGATACTTCGATTCTGAGATGAACGCCCTTGTTGCCCGAGGTCTTGATAAAGATCAGGAAGATGATCGTGTGTTCGACTCAGATTATGTCAAGGGCATAAGTTCCTTCTTGATTGCTGACCTTAAACGCAGATATTTTTACATAAAATATGAGTTAAATTTTACTGAAAGTAAGTGAAATTCTTTCTGCAGGAAAAAACACTGTAACAATAATATGAAAGCATTTTCATGTTGTCAAGCAAACTGTATAGACAAAGAAAACAAAGTAAATCAGTCTTTTACTATTTTTGTTTCAGTTTATGAGTGAATTATTTACTACAAAAAGTCCTAAAAAACAACCTTAAGCAAGGTGGGATTACACAAATTTGTACTAGATATGAAAAACAATTTAAGTAATTAAGTATTTAAAACAAATATAACAAAAAACACTTTATTATTGTTTAAAACAGAGAAAGTACAGTCTGATTCAGAATTTATAGACATAGATAAGATTTTAATAGACATTTGATGCAGTTGTTTTCACTAATATGAATATCAAGCCTCAGTAGGATTTCCAATCTGAAGCCCTGTTTCCCTGAGTCTGTTGGTCTGGCTAGTGCTGCCTCAGTCAGACCCACTGTCCCCCCTGGACTCCAGTGCTTCCCTTCTCTGATATAGTGATATCTGGCTAAATGCGGGTATTTGCTGATATGCAGACATGCTTACTATTCAGTGACATTGCCCCACTAACACTAGTAGTTATAGTGCCAGACTGCAGCTGGGCCAACATGACATCTGTCCCTTGTTGCTTTCTTTTGCCTGCCTGCTTCTCTTCCCCTTTTTCTTAGCTTCTTGTTTTTCCTTTCACTTAGTCTCAAAGATGTTATTAAAATCCAGGTATGTACTGCACTAATGCACTGTGCATCACATTTATTTAGTGGGAAATGCTGCAATTTTATGCGTTTAAATTTAACATAACACAATCAGCGCAGCTTTCAACAAATAACACTAAATATATTAAATCTACAACGACAAGATAATGGTCAGCATAGCAAAATGATATGCCAATATACATTGTATGGCCAAATGTAAGTGGACACTTGATCCTAAACTTGCAGACTAAATAAAAAAAACTGCAGTTTTAGGAATTATTACGACTTTAAAATGGATTTCCACATTGTTGAACTAGGGAGGCTAAGATAATGTAACAGTATGACGTTTGACCAACATGGCAGCTATTAACATTCTTCCTTTTATTTCTGTTTTAGTCATTGATGTTCAACAGAGGCTGGTGGTGTGTGAACTGTCGGACAATGACCAGCCTGGATCACTCATAATCAAGAATGCAATCGGAGGCATCACGGAAGATGACCAGCGTTTTTATGAATACAGATTTGCTAATCAAAATGGTTTAAATGCCACAGCAGAAAGACCAGAACCACGTTTGTTTTTAAGCCAGTGTATTGAAAATGATTACTACCTAGTGTGCATAGATGCACTCAGACGTTACCTAACAAAGAGAAGCAGTCAAGTGAAGAGGAAAGGTGAGCATTTTCTACAAGTCTGGAAATGTTTTTCTTTTGAATCTCAAGTGTTTCTATGTGTGTAGCTGATGCTAGAGTAACATAGCTAGTTCACACCTAATCACACATTCCAGAAGAAATTTCATACAGGACTCAATAAACAGTAACCATTAAATAAACAAATGCAAATGGAAACATCTTAATAAATACAAATAGGTATTTAGTTTGAAAAACAATAGTTGTACATATACCAACATACACAATATGGACAAAAGTATTGGGACACATCTCCTAATCACTGAATTCGGGTGTTTCATTCAGTCTCATTACCACAGGTGTATAAAATCAAGCAGCTAGCCATGCAGTCTGCCTTTACAGACATTAGTGAAAGAGTGGGTCTAAAGAGTTCACTGAATTCCAGCGTGGTTCTGTAATAGGAGGCCACCTTTGCAACAAGTCAGTTTGTGAGATTTCTTCCCTCCTAGATATTCAACAATCAACTGTGAGTGATATAATCGAAAAGTGGAAGCGTTTAGAAACCACAGCAATTCCACTCTAAGACCATGTAAAGTTACAGAGCGGGTCACCAAGTGCTGAGGAGCATAGAACATAGAAGTCTCTAATGCTCTGCTGGTCAATAACTGCAGAGTTCAAAACTTCCTCTGGCATCAACATCAGGACAAAAACTGTGTGCTGGGAGCTTCATGGAATGGGTTTCCATGGCTGAGCAGCTGCATGTAAGCCTTACATCACCAAGCACAATGCCAAGCGTTGGATGGAGTGGAGTAAAGCGCCGCCACTGGACTCTGGAGCAGTGGAGACGTATTCTGTGCAGTGATGAATCAGCTTCTCTATCTGTCAGTCTGATGGACGAGTCTGGGTTTGGTGAATGCCAGGAGAACATTACCTGCCTGACTGCACTGTGCCAGCTGTAGAGTTTGGTGGAGGAGGGATGATGATATGGGGCTGTTTTTCAGGGGTTGGTCTAGAACTCTTAGTTCCAGTGAAGGGAAACCTTAATGCTCCAGCAGAACAAGAAATTTTGGCCATTGTTTTCTTCCAACTTTGTGGGAACAGTTTGGGGAAGAACCTTTTCTGTTCCAGCATGACTGAGCCCCAGTGCACAAAGCAGCTCTATAAAGGCCTGACTGGGTGAGTTTGGTGTGGAAGAACTTGACTGGCCCTCACAGAGCCCTGACCTCAACCCCATCCAACACCTTTGGGATGAACTAGAGCGGAGATTGTGAGCCAGACCCTCTCGTCCAACATCAGTGTCTGACCTCACAAATACTCTTCTGGACGAATTGAATGGGCAAAAATTCCCACAGACTCTCTCCAACATCTTGTAGAAGCTTCCCAGAAGAGTGGAAGCTGTTAGAGCTGCAAAGGGGGACCAACTCCATATTAATGCCTATGGATTTAGAATGGGATTCATAAAAGCTCCTGTAGGTGTAATGTGGAGGTGTCCCAATACTTTTGTCCACATTGCACATTTATATACACTGTGTGTGTCTGTGTATTCATGTATATAATATTTGTCTTTTTAAATTCGTGATTCACGTGATTAAATTGCACATTCATATTTTTGTAACACCCCCCCCCCCCTTTAATGCCACTTTCCCATTTCAAAGCACCACTATGTTTGAGGTCTGCTTAAAGTCTGTGACTCATAAGCATCACCAGGTGTTGATTATCTTCTTTAGTGATGCTTTGCCAGGCTTGTAGTGCAGTCATTGCCAGCTCTTGGCCAGTCAGACATTTTCAAGAATGTTTGGGATTACTGTCTTGCTGTAGTGTGAAGCACAGTCCAAAGAGTTTGGTGGCATCTTCCTGAACCTGAACTTGTTGGGGTCCTGCTTTACACCCCAGAATTCATTTTCCTACTGCCACCAGCAGTTACAGCATCAGTGAAGATGAGTGAACCAGTACCTGTGGCAGCCTTACAGGCCCAGGCCAGAACACCCCCACCACCATGTTTCACAGATGAGGTGCTTTGGATCTCGGGCAGTTACTTTGCTCTTGTCATCACTCTGATGCAAGTTAATCTTGATCTCATCTGAAAGCCCTGTACTTTCTGTCAAACTGTAACCTGGCCACCATGTTCTCATGATTAACTAGTGTTTGGCACCTTGCAATGTAGGTTTGTATTTCTGTTCATGAAGTCTTCCATAGACAGTGGTCACTGACAAATCCACACCTGCCTGCTGAAGAGAGTTTCTGATCTGTCAGAAAATTAATTCTCACCATATTGAAGAAAACTTCTGACATCGTCTGTGTTCTTGGCTTACCAGTCGCTTGGTTACCAAGCTTACCAGCTCTCTCTGTCACACTGACCTTCCCCTCTCCTCGGGAGACTCTATTTCAAAGTTTGGGAATTGTCCAATGTCCAATGTCACAAAGCATCTCTTGGCAGTCCATTGACTACATTTACTTCTAAATGTAGCTACATATCCAAACATGATATTCTCTCTGATGTGGGATTCATGTCTCTTTCTACAGTGAAGCCCAGAGTGAGGCTCATCCAGAGAAGACGCTCAGTGTGTGGGTGGGATGGGGTGACCTGCCTGGCCACTGGTTTCTACCCCCGTCAAATCAACCTGACCATGCTCATAGACGGACAGCCAGTTCCTGACCACCTGATCACTGGAGGAGACCTGCTGCCCAACGGAGACGAGACCTACCAGATGAGGAAGAACCTGGAGTTCAGTGAAGAGGAGCTGAAGAAGCACAGCTACACTTGTACAGTCACCCACCTCAGCCTGGACAACAAGCTGGATGTCCATTTGGGTACTGAATCTCAGAGTGACACAGAAAATTCCTCAGCTGACTCTGAGCTTTTTATCACTTTCTTAAATGATGTGTTTCAGATTTTGATCCAGGGGAGCCCATCGGGTCCATTGTTGGCTCTGTGGTGGCTGCTCTGGTCTTGGTGTGTGTGATGGTCATTGTCACCTGGATCATATGCAGGAGAAAGCGAAGAGGTAAGAAAGCAGATTAGAGGAAAGTGGTTCAGCAGCTTTTGTAACTCTGCACTAAAGGAATGCAACATTTATTTAAAGCACTAAACTTGGTTGGAGATGAAATATTAGACAATTTCTCTAAAAAATCTCTCTGATCATGATCACTCTTTTATTGTCTCCTTTTATAGCTTCATCTCAGGGGGACTATTCATCAGCCTCTGGTAAGTGATTTTTTTTTTTTTTAATAAAAAAAGTAATAAGTTTAAACACTTTACTTATAAGTAATCTTTTATACAAAAAATACTTCTGTGCAATCCAGTTAATCCCACTACTTTTGTAGATCTAGGACATTGAAATGCAAAGTCTAAGTTACAGTCACACAGTACTGAGTATATAGTGGTACAGTATGCAGTATACAGTACATGTTGGTGCTGTATAATGAATACAGTATATTGTTGGTGTTGGAATAAAACCTTTTGTGTACAAGAGGAATGAAGAGAAATGTACAAGGAAAAACCTTTTATAAGAGACATTATTCTTACAATTTAGATGTAATATACACTCCTAGTGTGGCAGAATCTTTCATTACAATTCTATTTTCAGCCACAGGAGAAAGTGAGATGGGGTGATGCAGAAACCTATTATGAAGACCTGGCAAAGGGCTCTTATAAAAGAGAACTTCAGTCATTTCTGTGTTCTCTGTGAAGAATCTTTTTGTCTTTTTATATCCTACTGTCTTAATTAGTAGCCATGAAAATGATTGTTAATATTCACTATACACTATGGAACATTTGCTGTTAATTGATTATGCTGAGTAACAGTACATATTTTATTATTTATGAAATCTCATAAAATGTAGAAGTGTTGTAATAGTGTTTTATTATTATTATTATTATTATTATTATTATTATTATTGATTTTTTTTACGTGTTAGAATGACATTTTTAGGAAAAGCTGTGCATAAGTAATTACCACTTAACCATGCCTATTGATTGATTACATGCAGTAGAGAGTAGAGGGTATTTACAGTGTCTTATACAGTAGAGAATCTTTATATAATGCTTATAAAAACCTAGTTATGGATAAGATGCTCCTTTTGGAACAACACTTCTTCAACATGCATAACAATTTTTTTTTGTTTCCATTAAACGTCATACACTGAGGATTCATAAGGAAAAAAGAATGCTAAGAACTGTTATTGTTTCTGTAAGAATACTAGAACATGCCTAAAACACATTCCTAGTGTAAACTCAAAGTGCACAAAAGTGAAATCTCCTGTTTCTTTCCTCAGTTTGGTCTAACTGCCTTTGTTTAATCTTCCGTGTTTAATGTCATCATAATTGTATCCTAGCTGCACTGTTTGGTGTAGCCCTCTTCTTCATTCTTCAAGGATGTTCTCCTTTTGAGTCTTGGTCCCTCTCAGTGGATCCTACTAGGTCCTATTTAGAAGGCTGGAGTTATTTTGTCACCACTGGCAGTTATGAATCTGATAAGATGGCTATGACATGCGGAGTCCCCCAGGGATCAGTTCTCGGGCCTCTTTTGTTCTTTATGTGCTGCCTTTAGGCCAATTCTGCAGAATAACATTGATTCTCATAGTTATGCAGATGATATACAGATATATCTGATTGTCACACCAGACAATTACAGCCAATTATACTCTGTCTACTGTCTGTACTGTCTCAGTGATGGGAGCATATAAATAATTGGACGAGCCAAAATTTTCCTTAATTAAATAAAGACAAACCCAAGATCGCAGTGCTTGTCAGTAAAGAGAAGTGAGTTAGTATAAGTGAACACCTCGATTGTCAGGCTTTTAAAACCAAAGATCAGGTTTGCAATCTTAACTCAGATCACACCTTCAGCTGCAATATTAAAGCAATCAACCCTCTATCAACAACCTTCTATCATCCTAAAAATATTGCCAAGGTTTGGTGTCCCAACAAGATCTAGAGAAGCTCGTCCATGCTTTTATCTCCAGCAGAGAGGACTTCTGCAATGGTCTCTTAACTGGACTTCCCAAAAAGACCATTAAACAGCTGCAGCTCATTCAGAATACTTCTAATAGAGTTTTAAGAGAACAGGACTAAGAGAACACACAACATCACTGCAGCTCTAAAATCTTCACACTGGCTTTCATTTAATTACAGAATAGATTTTAAAGTGCTGCTACTAGTCTATAAGTCGCTGAATGGTTAGGCCCAGAATACATCGGTCATATGTTAAAAGAATATAAAGCAAGCAGGTCTCTTAGATCCATGGACTCAGGTCAGCTAGTTGAACCCAAACAAAACACAGTGAAGCAGCATTTAGCTGTTATGCTGCTACAACTGGAACAAACTGCCAGAAGATCTTAGATGAGCTCCAAATGTAGCAGTTTTTAAATCCAGGTTAAAAACATTTCTCTTTTCATGTGTCTATAATTGAGCTTTATCACTTGACTTATTTTCACTGTACTTTAGGTTTAATAAGCTAATTTGAATAACACTTAAGTCCTTTGTTTTAATTCCCTTGTACTTTTATTCTAGTTTATGTACTTTGTACTGTCTTTTAATTATTTTTTTTTAAAGATTTTTATCTTCTATCATTTTTCACTCTCAGGCACTTTGTCTTTATTTTTCCTTTTGATGTTGCTTTTGCTTTTATATGTAAAGCACATTCAATTTTCTTTGTGTATGAAATGTGCTATATAAATAAACTTGTCTTACCGTGCCTAACGCTCTTAGGGAGTTTCTCCTTTTGGGTCTTGGTTCCTCTGAGTGGTTGTTGCTCATACTCTTGTGAAGAGGTTAGTATTGTTAATAGGGTTGCATCAATACCAATACCATATGGGTAATGGCACCAATACTGGCACTTAAACGCGGTGTCATTTCACCAATGCGAACACTGATACCACGAAGCAATTTCTAAATAAGCAGCAGTAAAAATGGTCGTGGCAAAATCCGTAGCATCAATATTTCATGGTAAGGAAATGGCCATGGGTGATATACCAGTTAGAATTTCACTGGTAAGACACAAATAAGCCAGATAACAAAAAGTGTAAAACATGCAAATAGTAGCCCCTTTAGCTGAATGGCTGAGCCATGAAACTGATGTTTCAGTAATCCCTCATCTCGAGCTGTGTAGTCAGTTTCAGTTTAAATTGAACGTTTAAAAGTGGATCTGTGTAGACGTCAGGACTGTTAAGCTAGTTGGCTAGACTCAGTCTGTACTTGGTCTCGGTCAGCACTTAAGGATCAAGTATTTGTATCAGGAGTCTAAGATTTTCTGTTCTGGAAAACAGCAGGCAGAGAGGGGAACTAAATTACAGGGGAAAAATTGGGGGGACAAACAGCATGAAGACAGTAAAACACTACCAGAATGCTAATTAGCTGAAAAGGACATGGGTTGTACTAAAACTACAACATTTGAACCACTGCATTTAAGTAAATAAAGGATGTGGAGAGGTGAACGGCACTCTGGGAGTCCTTTACGTGCTCCTCTGCGCTCTCCCAACTGGCCCAAAGTCCAGTCAAATGTAATACCCGCCTTCGTCACCAGAGGTCAGCCTCACCTGGGTACTGACTTGCTTCCTAGTGACACCAAAACCTCTCTCACCTGCAGCTCATTAACCTGCTTTTATAAGGACCTTCACTCACACTGGATCTCAGTGAAGTACTTCCAGTTCATCTGTGTACCAAGACTTGTTTCTTCACATCTGTTGGATTTTTTCTGGATTGCCTGGACCCTTTTCTGAACTCTTTGACTCTGCTTTTTAAACTCACTTTGGTACCTTTGCTGTGTTGTGATCTATTCTGGTTTTTTGACTTTTTGGACTTTCTCTGACTTTGATTTTTGTGATTTTGATACTGTGTTTCGAGTACATGGGAATTATGGATTCAAACCCATCTGGAGAGTCTTCATTACAGAATACTTTGCCTACCCAGAATCCATAAGACCCGTTTAATCTCTGTGCTGCTGTTTTGGCTCAAGGCCGACTATTGGGCTCTCATGCACAACCCCTGCACCTCACAAATACCCTTGATGAAGTGTTACATGTGGCTCGTGACCTTCAGGTTCCAGCTCCCCTGTCTGCTCAAGTCTCCCTGCGGCCTCCAGTACAGCTTTCCCCATCTCCCTCTGACGCTTCACTCCCTTCTGTCAAGCTAGCCCTTCCTGATAAATACGACAGGTCCCCTGGTCTGTGTAAGGGATTCTTAATGCAGTGCATGATTTTTATTTTTCTCGTGCCCCTGCTGCTTTTCCCACTGATTCATCCAAGATAGCTTTTGTCATGTCTCTGCTCCACTGGTAAAGCTCTCTCCTGGGCTACGGCTTTGTGGCAAGCTCAAATACCCGATTCCTCCACATACGCAAACTTTGAACGTGTGTTCTGGAGGTTTTTAACCACCCAGTTAGCAGTAAAGCTCCTGGAGAGCTTTTAATAGCCCTCAAACAAGGCTTGGTACACAGATGAACTGGCAATACTTCAGAGATCCAGTGTGAGTGAAGGTGCTTATAAAGGGAGGTTAATGAGCTGCAGGTGGGAGAGGTTAAGGTGTCACTAGGAAGCAAGTCACTCCTCTGGTGATGAAGGCGGGTATTACACCTGACACACACTCTATCTAGGCCGCTTATCCTTCTTGGTCTGGGTGTTGGAGCCTATCCCAGTGGTCACTGGGCAGAATGACCCGGGATAGGTCACCAGTCCATCGTAGTGCGGACAGACAGAGACATATACATTCACTTACACACCTGACTGCATGTCTTTGGACTGTGGGAGGAAACCGGAGCCCCTGGAGGAAACTAACAAGGGTAATGGTAATAATAATTTTTTATTTAAAAAAAATAAAATTTGGA